AATATAACAGTAAGCAGCCATTTGAGTCTGGCTTCTACTTAGCAAAATACATTTAAGATTTATCCAAGTTGTTGCATATATGGTTCCTTAGTTTTTATTGCTGAGTAGAATTTCATCATCTGGATACACCAGTTTCTGTATCTCTGCACCAGTTGAAAGGTATCTTCGATTTTAGTTTTCTCCATTTGTATGTGGTCTGTAGGTCTAGTGAGGAGGAGGTAAGGTTTTCCACCTAAGACGAAGGAGTCCCTTCTGGGAATCCTGGCTGAGAAGTACATCCCTGGGTAACTGTGCAAGAAGCTGTAACCAGGGTCCTTCACTTCTCATCCCTTACACATTATCAAAAATTGGAGCGTTAATCATGTGAGCAATATAGCAAATGAATAGAAGTTTGTCCTGAGTGAAGTCAGAAATCCTCAGAGTGGTTCTGACAAATATTCTGGAAGCTAAGTGTTTGTAAGAATATTTAAAAATTATTTTAATTTAAAAATATTGAAAAAGGTAAAAAACACAACACAAGGTGAAGGTGTCTTTTCAGCTTGTACAGTCCTACTTCCAGAAGGTTTACAGCTTATTATACACATTCCTTATTTCTTTCCTACATTGATTTTGAAATTATCTCTACAAACTATACACATGAACTATTTGCTTAAAAATGTATCCTTACTATACATACATCTCATACATACATACATCTTAGTTTATAACTTAATATAAAAACTTGGTACAAGTCACAATATATTCATAGATCGAGTCCACTGTTTTAATGGCTTCATTGTATCCCACTAAATGGATGTGCCATAAGTCATTCGTGTTGACAGATGGACATTTGGATAATGTCCAAGTTCCTATTTTTGTGAGTTTCACTGAGACTCATATGCCACAAAATTCATCCACTTGGTATATTCATTGCTATACAAGTATTAATGAAATTTATGAACATTTTCATCTACTTGCAAAGACTTCCCATCCACTCTAGTTATCCCTACATACCCTTTATCTGTGTGTGTGTGTGTGTGTGTGTGTGTGTGTGTGTGTGTGTGTGTGTGTGTGACCAATTCGGGATACTTCATCTACATCTACATTGAGTCCTACAATTTTCCTTCAGCAGTGACTGGCTTCTTTCACTGAACATATTCTCAGGGTTCTTCCATGTTGTAGTAGTGTATCTCAGAAGAGTTCCCTTAAAAACAAAAACAAAACAGCTTGTGAAGAAATTGGATTACTGTTTCATTAAACATTTAGTAGAATGCAAATAAAATGCAATTTAAGTCTGGACTTTTCTTTGAGGGTATCTCTCTTATTGGTTATTATGCCTATTCTGACTTCCTTTATTTTGTTGTTGGCACTTATCTTTCTAGAAATTTGTTCATTTTGGGTAAGTCAATTTATCGACACACAAGTATAACACTATTCCATCATATACCTTCTATTTCCCAAAGATCAGTAGCATTACCCCGTCCTTTCTCGTTCTAATAATTAGTCTACCTTTTCCTGTGATATTTAGTAAAAGGTTTGCCAATTTCTTGCTTAGATTAATTGCCTTTTCTTAATTGTATTTTATTCTCTCATTTATCTTGCATGCTTTTTTTGTTTTAGGTATAGTTTGCTATTCTTTTCCTACAGCTTAAGATATAAACTGAATTACTGCTATATGATCTTTTTTCTCTTTAAATAGGCTTATCTCTAAAAATTTTCTACATAGACAAAGGTAGCTATGAGCCACTTGATGTGGGTACTGAGACTCAAACTCAGGCCTCTATAAGAGTAGGCAAGCACTCTTACCACAGAGCCATTTCTCCAGCCCTCCTTGTGTTTCTTTATTGACCTACTTTCTACTTAAGTGTGACTAATTTCCATATTTGAGAGTTTCCCAATTTCTTGTTACTGATTTCTAACCTCTTTCCAGGTGGTCAGAGGACATTCTTTACATCACTTCAGTCTATCTGGATTTTTTTAAGGCCTGTTTTGTGGTTTAGCTCATGATTTAGCCTGAAGACGTTTCATAGGCATGGGCTAACGATCTATCTTCTAGTGTTGTAGGGTAGAATGTTCTATAGCTGCTTTTTAGATCTATTCAGTTCACAGTGTTGGAGTATTCTACCTCTTTGTTTATCACTTGTGTAGCACTACTTTCAGTAGAAAGGAAACACTGAGTATTTCAGCTTTTCAGAGACTTGTCAATTTCTCCTTTCTTTACTTTCCTGCCCTGTTTCAGGTTATTTTGGGTCTCTGTTGTTATGAAAAATGTAATTAAAATTTTTACATCTTAAAACATTGACCGTTTTAACAAAAAATACAGATCTTTATCTCTAGTTGATATTTTTGTTCCCCTTTCCTCCGAATTTGGGGCACGCTAGCTATTTCTATATGTTACAGGCTTAGCAATATATTAAGGTTATCACTAAAAACAATGATGGTAGTTTTCAAGATGCTGAATTATTTACTGTTTTATAAAATTAGCCATATTTTTACTCCTTTGTTTTATTTGTTCCTATGGATTTCTGCTATTTTTTAGTAAAATAAGCATTATTTCTGATCTTCATCTGTTACTGGCAAATACATTGACTTTTTTGTTATAGGAGATACAATGCAACTATATACAACTTAATACAACTTTTAAACATAAGTTAACAAAATCTTAGTACTTGGGAGGCAGAGGCTGGTGGACCTCTGAGTTTGAACCCAGTCTGGTCTATATAGCAAGTTCCAGGACAATCAGGACTACACAGAGAAATGCTGTCTTTAAAAACCAAAAAAAAGTAAATAAATTCGTTAACAGATAAAGGAAAAAGTATTCAAGATTGTCTTTTATAGTCACACACAATCACGTTTGTCTGTTTTATGTATAGATTTAAATTTTTCTCTAAGGTCACTTGCTTTTCAGCTTGACAACGGTCCTCTTGCATGTCTTGTGTGATCTTCTGGCAACAAATTCTCCAGCTTTTAAAAAGTATGTGGGAGGTATTTTACCTTTCACGGCCACCTCCACTGTTTCTGAGATCTTAACTATGTCACTTTTTCTTGGTTTTCGTTTTTGAAACAGGATTTCACTTCTCTTTACACAGGCTGGTTTTGAATCAGGCTCCACTGATTCCCCCCGCCTCGGCCTCCTGAATAGCTGTAAATACAAGAATGTGCCATTTATCAGAAATACCCATTTCTGATAAGAAGTTAGTTGGTAATCTAGAGACCCATGACAAATAATATTTCAGTTTTCTTGGGTTATTTTCATGATTTTCTCTGTCTCTTGAATTTTCAGTATTTTATTATAATATGGCTTCGTCACTCAATTTGAAATATTTGTAGCCGCTATTTCTGAAGATTTTTTTAATATTTATGTGTAATTTTGTATATATGTATGTGGGAGCACACTTGCCATAGCATATTTCCGGAAATCAGAGATAACTTACTGGAACTGTTTCTCTCCTTCTCTCATGTAGGTCCTAGGGTTTGAACTCAGGTCTTCATGCTTGGTGGTGAGTATCTTTACTTACTAAGCCATGGTCCTCTTGCAGTATTTTTTTTTGAGACAGGGTTTTTATGTATAACAGTCCTGGCTGTCCTGCAACTCACTTTGTAGACCAGGCTGGCCTTGAACTCACAGAGATCCACCTGCCTCTGCCTCCCAAGTGCTGGGATTAAAGGCTTGCGGCACCACCACCTGGCTGTCTTGCGGTATTTATGCACTTTCTCCCTTTTGAAATGAAATTCTTATTATATATTGTTTGATGTGCTTAATGGAGTTTCCTACATTTCCTTCACTTTTTCCCCTTGGATGGTATAATCTCATTTAACCCTTACTCAGTGAGGTAAGGAGCAATATTACTCTACTGTACAGATGAGATCAATGAGGCTCAGATTAAGTGGCTTTTGAAGTTGGTAAACATGTGTGACTATGAGGATCACAGGTCTGACTCCAAAGTTGGTACTACCTAGTCTATACCATATTGTGTTTCTATTCTTCAACAACTATATACAAATCACTAGGAGTTTGAGGCAGGATGCATTTCTTCTAAAGTATAGAACTTTCTTTCCTGTCCCTATAGTATTCTCTGCTAGTTTGTTCCCTCTTTAAAGTTCATATATCTAATGTTTAATATGTATTAGGCAGTTACTCCATGTTTAATGTCTATTGTTTTGAATTTAATAGTATCATGAGATTACCAATATTTTGGCTTAAAAGAAGCCAGCATTATATGTATATATAATATATAGATATATAGATATATAATATATATCTTTTTGAGGACTGTGAAAACTCAGTGTAAGCAATCATTAAATATGTTGATCAACTCATGAATCTCCCTACTATAACTGTTTAAAGTTCTGACAAAACACAATGAGTTCTAGTAAATAAATATTTTAACATTGAATTAGTTTCAAATCTTTGTATACAGGAAACAGTCTCAGAAAAAGTATTTGGACTAAACATTAAAGACTGCAAAAATTTTAAAGAATCTTCAGGAACAATAATGTAACTTACCCTGAGAATTAAAGGTTTTCTATGATCTTAATGCTCAGGGTACTTTCTACCCTATATAGTGCATGATTATTATCTTTAATACTCAGGATAGTGTCAATTTTATATTGTCATTTTCTAGGTTATACAGTATTTAATTATGGGAAATTTTTATAACAATTCTCTTTAAATGTGGAAAGCCATTGTCCTAATTACTGTCTTTCTAATATTTCCTCTTCACTTTAAAAACAAACTTCTTTTTTTTTTTGGTTTTTGGAGACAGGGTTTCTCTGTGGTTTTGGAGCCTGTCCTGGAACTAGCTCTTGTAGACCAGGCTGGTCTCAAACTCACAGAGATCCGCCTGCCTCTGCCTCCCGAGTGCTGGGATTAAAGGCGTGCGCCACCACCGCCCGGCCAAAAACAAACTTCTATGTATATATATATCCTAGATTTTAGATTACGATAAAAGAAAGATAGGAGTGTGTGTTTATACACATACATATATCCAAATGTGTATGTACATGTGTCAATATGTATTCTAGCTACCACTGATTTCTGTACTGCTATCTGTAGCAGATGTTATAAGGGAAGCACCCTGGACAGCTGGCTGTTGCTGTTTGTTCTTTCCAAACTCTATCACCAATATTTTCCCATGAAGTTTATATCCATTTATTTGATGCAATGCTTGCCATGCTATGTCTTTATCTGGAAAAAAAATAAGAAAAATGCATCAAATTATATAGCGCTTAATCACTCAATTATTATTACAAATTTAATTCAGATTGGTTTGCTATAAAATCATGATGCTAAATATTTTTGTCATGCCTATAAGTCCCAATTTGTGTAAGTCAACAAGATTAAATTAGTGGGTAGTAATAGTAATAATAATAATGACAAAAGACCTTCAAAATGTATATTTGATTCAAATATATAGAAGAAATAAAGATACATAGGGAGTGAACTAAAGAAATATAAGTTAAACATAATTGTAAACATGCCTCTAGATAGATTATGGATATGCATGCAAATTTTTCAAAATTGTTACACAAATAAAAGAAGTTATTACATTATTGAACATACTTAGCTACGTTTTTCTTTTAGAGGGAAAGTGGTTATGGGACTCCTTATTGGGATAATGAATTTCTCTTACGATATACAGAAAATTTGTGTATGTGAATATATAGTGCATAGCAGGAATATTTAACATATGGGTCTCAGAGACTATATGTAAGAAATAAGGAGGGGTAGACTATGGACAAGAGTCTGTGGAATTATAAGCAGACAATACTGAGATCATTTTGTCTGAGACATCCCACAAATTGTCAAGTGTGTACTATAGCTGTTAGGATTAGTAAAAAAGCCACAAATTAAGACGTGTAAAACTGGGACTGGGAACATGGCTCTGGTAGCAAAATGCTTGCCATGTAAGCATGAGGACTTGAGTTTGGGTCCCTGGTACCCATATAAAACTCCTGGTATGGAAGCATGTATCAGCAACCCTAAAACTCGGGAGGTAGTCCCTTGTAGCTCACTGGCCAGCCAGCCTAGCCATATCAATGAGCTTTCAGTTCAGTGAGAAAATTAAGGTGGAAGAGCAACTAGGGAAGATCCTATAGGTTAGCTTCTGGCCTCTACATACATGCTTAGGCATGTGCATATATACACACACACTATATAAACATGTACACAAATTAATATAAAGCCTTTGTATTATGAATCTTTCAATTAGTAGGTTATATATATTCTGTGAAAATCCTTGAAATTTTTTTAAATTTTTTTTAATCCTTGAAATTTTTAAAAATTTAATAGGAATTCTCACTTCAAAAGATTAAAAACCAATGCTACAAAGAATCTACAAACCTTCAATGAGACAGAAAAAATAGTACAAGGTTATATGAAAGCAACGGAAAGGAGATCAGCATTTTTAATGTGTAGAATCACTTGCCCACATAAAAATTAGCCAAGTGTCAAAATGTCAAGTTAGGGACAACGAAAGGAACAGATCCTATCTAGCGTCTTTCCAAAAAAAACATACTGGACAATTTATTATTGAAATAAAAATTACTGTATTATTCTTGCACTTAGATTAGAACACAAGCCATGCACTAACATGCAAGTGATATTTGGAAGAAGGTATCATCTTTCAATAATTATGAATTGGTAATGAATTAATGAGCTTAAAATCACTTAGTTCTAAAGGAGTAAGACATGAGTATATGTCTTCTGATAACAATGCAAACATATTAACTATGAATAATTCTGTTATAGAGTAGAAATAGTACTATCAATATAAAGAAAATAAATATTGGTAGGGTAGAAAGGAAATGTCAAAAGTTGGGAAATAGAAGACACCGGGGTAAGGTGGTTATACAATACCGATAGAGAAGAGGAATTAAGTAGAGCAAGGAGGATCTAGGAATACTGGAAATGTATTTTCCTTACTGGCCCCCTTCTATGTGCTAAGGCTATATCTAACTCAGCAAGGTAATATGTTAGCCTCGCGTGAACTGATGGTGCACTGGAGTGATTATCTAGATGAAGCTACTTACTGGGAAAGGTGATGAAAGCCTGCCCTCTCATGCGTCCAGTCATTATTTGGAACTGAATGGGTGGTCCTTTTTTCTCCTGGAAGCGAGCGAATAATGAGATAAGGTCCCTTTCTTTCACCCGAGGACTAAGGTTCTTCAGGTATAGCACCTAATACAAATTGAAAAGTGACAAAAATATCACAGAACGAAAGCAACTCTTGCATTATGACTTGAATTACTCTCCGATGGGAGACTGAACATTTATCTGTTATTCTCTCCATGTTAAACTCTAAAGCTAAAGGCCTGAAACCAACAGGACAGAAAGAACTCAGAAAGTAATAGCAACAAAGTTCTGGAAGATATAAAAATGAATGAGTAGGAATGAAGCACACTAAAAAAGCTCACTAGCAAAGCCTTAGGGCAAAAAAAAAACCAAGAAGACATTCAATCTTCTTTAAAAGTCTTCAAAAGTCATATGTGGGTTAGGGAGGTGGCTCAGTGGATACAAGTGTGTACAAAGATGTGGACCTGATTTTAAATCCATGGTACCCATGTAAAAAGCTGGGTGGATCCCCAAACCAGTCTAGCTAGTTGATAATTTCTAAACTCAATGAGACCCTATTGCAAAAAGTAAGATGGAGAGAACTAGAGGAAGACATGTGACATTGACCTCTGGCCTCTATGTGTGTGTATGTACACACATATACACATACACATAATCCTCACACATACGACACACACACAAGTTTTAAAAGTTGGCACAGTGATAAAAACCTATAGTTCTACCAACTAGGAAGGTTGAGTTGGGATAAGAGTCCAGTCTGGGCAACACAGTGACATCTTGTCTAAAAATTAAATAAATATACAAAAAGGAAAAACCAAACACATGCATAAACGCTTCAAGAATTGATAGCTTTGGGTGGCTCGGGAAATAGATGTCATTAGATAGGGTTAAAATGAAGATGGGAAGCTGAAAGCTGTTGTAAAATAAATTAGATCTTTAAACCCTCTGCAATTATAGTACTGGCTGAGGGAAACTCACCAATCCTGGTAGTATATTGAAGGTTAATTGTCAGAAAACGTGGAATGTCTTGTATAGCTGAGGTCAAGAGAAGTATTTTCTGAAAGCAAGACTGAAAGAATGCATACCAAACACTGGGAAACCCATGATCTGACCAACATTCCTCTACCAGAACACTGGTAGTTCCTTTGCAAGAAAGCACAGGGGACAGTCTCCTTTAGGGGCACTAATGCCAAAGAAAGACAAAAATACTAACTTAGAATAGCAGAGTTCTTCAACAAGTGATTCAGCCAGATCGTCTGGGTCATTGTTATTACTATTTTGTTATTGTCATTTGGTCTCATTAATACCCCAGGCTGGTCTAAGACTCACAAACCTCCTGCTTCAGTCTCCTAAGTGCAAGGATTATAAAATATCACCGTGAATTCAAAGTACACAAAGGCCATGATCTCAGAGCTTCTGAACAACTTTACAGCCAGAAATAAGGATAGTGATTATCGGGCAAATTAGAAAGGCTTCTAATGTGGAGAATAGAAAACAGGGGCAACAAAAACAAATGAGAGGAAACAGAGACCATGAAGAAAACAGAATTAAACAACAAAAAAACCAACCTGTGACTAATACCCTCAGGATACTATTCCATCAATTAGTAATAGGATGCTATTGAAAGAGAAGGTAGCATATATATTAGACTGGAATATTATTTAATCCTTAAAAGGAAAAAAAAACCTATTGTGAATGAGATTTTCTGGAAAGAAACCATACATTATGCTGAATCCCATAAAACGCTAAAAACTAACTAGAACTTCAATGCCTGTGGGTAGGTTTGGATGATGCAGGCAGAGGGCCTAATTATAATTAATTATCTTGAGCTATCTTTTTAGCCACCCTTCTTAATATCTATTCCTTGCCCCCCTGGGTCTGACCCAACATGCTTGTCACTGACAAGTGAAATCTTGTGAAATGTATGAACAGATCATTAGCTTCCACCTACCCAAATGCTAAGAATATCATCAGGAAGCATATGAGGCCTATAGCAGAGATTTCTCCACTTGGCTGTAACCAACCTACCTGATGTTTCCACCAATGTACTTGCAAGTACCTTGATTTATGATTTTCTTTGTTTTTCTGTTACTATAAAAAGTCATGAAACTGTTACCATCTTGCAGCATGGATTGTGGGTAATCTAAATTTGCATTACCAGGTCATAGTCACTGATATCTGGCTCAAGAATAAACTATCTCTTATTCTTTTTAAGGTAAAAGTTGAGGTTTTATTGCTTTCCATAAACACTATCAAATGCTATGACATAGATAAACTTTTAGGAGTATATACTAGGTAACAGGAGAACAAATATTATATTATTTTACTTAGACAAAGCATTTTAAAGTAGTCCAGCTCATTGAAGCTAAAAGTATAATGATGGTAAGTTACTGTAAGGGAAAAATGAGGAAGTTGCTTCAGTCATGGAAGATGAGAAATCCCTACAAACCTGCGATACAACATCATGCTAAAGCCAACAATACTGCTTTGGGTACTTATATTTTTCCTAGGAAGGTAGATCCAATGTATTATTTAACAACAATACAAAAAGGATGAAAGAGGGAAAAGTAATTTAACAAAGTTTTTGCTTTAAAAATTAGGAAAGAATTCACACTAGAACAGAAAAGACAACAGTCAGGAAATGACTGATATAGTCACTAAAATATATGGAGAAATACATTAAACATCATTAAAGTTACTAAATAGTGGAATCTTTACCACTTAACCTTAGAAAGCAGTGTAAGATTTAAGATTAAGCCCAATACATAGCAGAAGACCGTCAACACAAAACAAATGCAATGGTACTTTTAATTTTTTGTCCCACATTGCTTTGTTTGGGCATTAAAAAAAATCTTACTGGTCTTTTGCTTATATACTGTGGTTTCTGATTTTGTGTTTTTATGGGTTTTATTTTTTGTGTATGATGTATGTGTCTGTGTGTACATGTTTTTGTGCCTTATCTTTTCCTTTGGTTTATTTGCCTGTTTGTTTCAGAGAGAGAGAGAAGTCATGGAGTTGGATGGGTGGGGAGGATCTGGGACGACATGAGAGAGGAAAAACTGTGATCAAAATATCTTATATGAAAAAGATTATTTTCAATAAAAATCATTTTAACAGGTTTTAAAAACTGGGAAGGGAGTATGTGGGAACAGATCCCAACTTTCTCTACAATTAGAAAAGATCCATACTGACTGTTTCTTCTCATAAATATATTTTTTTATTTTTCAGTATTTAAAAATATTATGTGTATGAGTGTTTTGTCTGCATGTAAGTTTGTGTACCATGTACATGCAGTGCCTGTGGATACCAGAAAGGGCAGAAGAGTCCCTGGAATTGGAGTTGCAATCTGTTCATCAGGCAGATGCTGGGAATCAAATCTGGGTCCTCTGGGGAAAAAAACAAAACAAAACAAAACAAACCAGTACCCTAACTGCTGAGTCACCTCCCAAGCCACATGATTAAAAGGTTTTTTTGGTTGTTGTTGTTGTGGGTTGTTTTTTTTTTTAAAAGAACTTCTGGTCAACAGGTTGTTCTTTCTCGGTTTTATGTTCTCTGCTGCAAAAGTTTACACACATACTTATATGTACAGATATATCTATGTGTGTATCTAAAACATAGATATGTATTTATAGCACGTGCATATATAGACATACAGATATTGGGAGGCCCTAAAATAAGACAAGCATGATTGTGAAACAGAAAAACAGAACCTTCTGCTAGCACTGTGTGATATTTAGTTTTGATTGCATGTTTTGAACTTTATATAGTTTATACTCTCTGAATTTATTTGTAACTTTTAAAAAGCCTTACAAATTTGATTTGATTTTTCCAAGCTTAAATATAATATCCTTATGCTTCATATCCAGTTTCTGACTTAATAAATATCTTACATTTATGTTATATTCATTTTATTAATAAACTAGTGCTGTTACATTATTAACAAGAGTCCATTCTTTATTTGCATTTCCTTAGTTTCTACCTAATGTTATTCTCTGTTTAAGACACCATCTAGAGTACTACCTTTCATGTAGCTTTAAACTCCTCTTGACAATTTTTCAGATTTTCCTTATTATTCATGATTATGAAAATTGTAGTAATACTGGTCAGATTTGGTTTTTATAAAAATAGCCCATTACTAGGTTTTACCTGTTGTTTTTCTTGATGTTAGACTAGAGTGATGATGAGTTATTGGGAAGAAAACTACACTTTTAGAGTTCAGTTTTGGTCACACTGTATACAGCAGAAATGCTAACAACACTGATTTGTGACTGCTGATATTTGCTTTCATTTCCTGCCTGAGGGAGTGCTGGTCAGCTTCCTCCATTAACTGCTTGTCTTCCTTTCCATAGTACTCTTGGGAAACAGGTCAACACAAGCCACTCAAAACCAAGCAGCAGGGAATTAAGTTCCTAAGATTTATCTCTTCTCTACTTCCTTCCTCAAGTTTTTAATTCTCAGAACCTGTACAAGATAAGGGTAGTCTATATCTTGAATCATTATTGAAAGTTAAAGTTGTTTAGTTTGTTGCACAGAGAGTTCTAGCTTTGATTATTAGAGTTATCCATCAGTTCCTGTGTTTTATGCTGCTATTTTACCTTTGGGTACAAAAGTACTAAAGGCTAATCTTGTGTATTTCCTGTCTGAGTAATAGGACCAGCCATTTATTTCTCTGAAGATCTCTTGTTACATTTGGCAGAGAATGGTATTAGAAGTAATCCATCCTGAGCAAGGGCAAGTTTGATTCATTGGGGGCTTGCCATGCTAATACTAACCTGTGTATAAATGCAGACAAATATTTCTACTACATGTAAACTACGTGTGTCTGGATTAAGTTATATATGAATCCACAGTGATGCTCCCAAATTTAAGCTACTACCGCATGGATCATTTTAATTTTCTCCCTTTATTTATCTCCAAATTCCAACTATGAAAACCTGCGCCTACTATCTGCCAACCATTTACTTAAAGATGTGTGCACAGCAGTATCAGCATTGTTAACCATGAGACACAACCTTGGCAACCTGGGTGTGGTGTTTATGTACAGTTCCTATTTGCTGCTAGTCTCGCAGATTACACATTTCTAAAGCTAGTTAGGTCAGTACCTT